TAGCTTGACGTTTGATTGGCTCCTGCCTGGATGGCTTGTTTTCCAAGTTGGGTATGGTTGTTGAAGGCAAGATGCGGGCGCCGTGCGATACTGTGGCGGGACTTACTCCCCAAAGAAGGAATGGCGGCTTGATCTGAACGGTCCTGATGTTGCACGTTTGCCGGCACTGTCGCCAGCCGAGCACCACGCGATGGATCTGGCCTGACAGGTTCGACAACCTCTGGCGGCTATCCTAGTTGGGACTTGGTTTGGGGGGAACGGTCTGGAAAGGGACAGCAGGCAAGCATGCCTCGAGAGCACTGTATATCGCTTCACTTTCTGAAGTATCTTGCCCAGTACGATATGGAGTGAGGAAGGACGCTTTTGCAGCGACGAGTCAGTGGGAAGGCAAGATGATGCAACACGTGTTCTGTGTCACGACAAGGACAGAGAGAAGCGCAAGATTGTGGGCACGGCACGAAGGGTCAGGCAGGTACCTAGGCGGAAGAGAGAGAGAGGTAGGGCAGGCGCGATCCTACCTGCCAGCCTGTTCCTGCTCTGCACTCATTTGTACCTTGTCAGAAGTCGCAATCGAGCTGGCCTTGAACCCCAAGGCGGCAACGGCGACTCGACTGGGCTACAGGCCTTGCAAAGAGGGAAAGGACGCCCCCTAGTCACGACCCCGGAAGGGCTTGACCAAAGGGGGGGTTAGACAAGGTGCGATGAGGAGGGGGTGTCAAACCAGTACCTGGCTACATGGACTGTGCTGGCTCAGATCCATCCTCAGTGCACTCGAGCCCGACACGAGGAAGGGAGACGTTGACGGAAGCATCCAATGAATCGCAGAGGCGTAAGCCGAAATGCCCGGCTGAGGTGAAACTTGCCCTAATGAATGCAAATAAAACAGACACGAGAGTAAGGCCTTGTTTCGAGAACGCGCCGGACAACAGACAGCAGACGCCAGATATTTACTACTGTGGACGGCTGATTGCGGTAAGGGGCCTGGACACGCGCCCTTTCAGCAGGTGTGGGTGAGGACCGTGGCTCTCTACAGGGAAGGTGCCAGATGTAGCCCACCCCACGTGATGTTTGTCTTTCTCATCTCATCACTGACGAACACGATTCAAGGTGCCATGTACCTGCCCAGCCGCCATGACTGGGACGCCCTTCCCCTGCTTCGTCAGAGGCCTTGATCCTTCCCTCCGCTTCCTTAAAACAGTCATCGGGCAAGGAAGACATCGCATGGGCGTTGCGCGATAGTATAGCAATCGCCTCCAAACCCTGATGTGAGAATGACAGCAGAAGCATCTGCCTTGCCATCATTACAAGCAAACAATGAGGGCACAGGGGTTGGAAGGAGGGAGGGAGGGGGGGGGGGCACGCCCGGAAATCCGGACGCAGGGACGGAACTCCAAGCCTCTACGAACATACGAACGAGGGACCAAGGCGTATGGTATGTCTCTCTGCCCCAAACCACTTCTCTCTGGACGATAGCTGAATATTCGTTTGTAAGGACCGGAACTTAAACAGATTTGCTTCCTGGGCAAGTGGTCACGGTGCCGACCGCCCGATTATCCAATTTTCGTGCTCCCAACATCCAGTGTTGTTATTAAGCATGAATTGAGCAGTCAGGCCCTTACTCCCTCCCCCGTTGTCTTGCCTTGGTAGCGGAGCAGGTCTTGTACTTCTAAGGATGAGAGCCTCAAATGCATCCTCCAGATTCCCCATGGATATGGCGAGGCGATCCGAGTGGCCGTGCAGATCCTCCCCAAACAGAGCAAGTGATTCAGTGTTCATCCAACCTTCTCACAATGGGCAAGTCACAAGGCTGGTAGCACCATATCCGCCTGGACCGCAGATCAGAAACAGGGAAGACAGTCGGTTGGAATCAGGGCGCCAGTCTCAACCGCCTGTATCACATGTTGTCCGGCTCTCATCAATGGCGCCAAGCATTGGTGCCACCACGGACAATCTAATCGAATGACAAGGCATGATGCCATTCGAATCGCCACTACAGCACAGCACAGCCTTGGGTCAATCGTGAAGGAAGGATATCCGATCAATGCACGCCAAAAGCGCACTAGGTGCTTGCAAGTCCCGAGTGTGACACTCCCGCTCATCCACAGAGGCGGCGCCGTGGTGACACTGGGCTGAAAGAGGTTGGGCCTGTACTGAGAGGCAAACATCAGTCAGTCAGTCTGCAAGCCAGGCAGGCAGGGATGGGACCCCTCAGACCTTGGACAGGTAAGGGAAAAAGGGCCCTCCCAAATCAGGCGACTCCTCGATGTTTTGTGTCGGCTGATTGGCTCAATCTCGCGGTTCTGGCATGGCACGGCGCGACCGCAGGCTCGTGCGACTGCCAAGCGTGCTTCAGCAAGCATCCTCTGAAACGACTCCTGTCGGGACAGCTGCATCATCACGATCAATTCTGCGCTCCGACCTCTCTTGCCCCTTCCGTTCGCTTCGCTACCTTTTGTTGTATCTGTTTCTCTTCCATTCCTGACGACTTCTTTCTGGCTCAGCATATGCGGCAGTGGCTCCATCCACGTTTCGACCTATCCTCTCTTTCAGTGCGAATCCCTCCGCCGAAACCTGGGAGCCGGCCTCCTCCACTTCGTCTTGCTCGAGACTCCAGGACCAGACGAGCCGCCCGCACAAAGTGCTTCGACCCAGAGAGACAAATTAACCCGGTCGACTGCTTGCCCGTTGGGAACCAAGTCTATCACATTCACCACTGTCCATATTTTTTTTCTTTATCTTCTACGATATCGTCTCGCTGTGCGGTCGAACTTCACCAGATACTGCTCTGGTCACGGTCTTTACCCCGACGTCCACCGAACGCCATACCATCTCGCCAAACCGCTTCACTCGAGACGCCGGCCGTCTTTCCTCGCACCGTCGTCGCCAACAATCTTCTACGAACATTAGCCGATCTCTGTACACACATATAGTCCTCGAGACCGCCAGCAACATGGTCAACAAGATCCTCGCGACCTTCGTGGTCGCCGATGTGCTCTTCCTGATCACCGGAGCCGTCACCTTGGGCTTCTCCCTCATTGCCCGCAGCAACATGTTTGAGCAGCCGGGCGAAGGCCAGCAGGCTGCGAGAAACTTGATCTATCAAAAATTCCCATTCGAAGCTGGTATCGCCAATGCAGCCTTTATCTTCATCACCTTTGTAATGACACTGCCCGGCATCATTACCCCGACCCGTGGCTGGCTCAAACTGGCTGCCTACCTCATTACTTTTTGCGCCCTGTTCTCCCTTTGCGTGGGTGTCTACCTCTGGGTCCTGACCCTCACCACCCAGTTTGACTTCTTCGCCATCTGGATCGCTCAGGAACCCGGCGTTCAGAATCTCATGCAGACATCGGTAAGAGAAAGAGCCACCTACCCAACCGTTCGGGAGACGAAACTGACCCTTCTCCAGTTCAACTGTTGCGGATACTTTAACAGCACTTCTCCTGCCTTTGTCACCAACGATCTTTGTAGCTCCCCAGCAGCTGCCGCTCTTCAACGCGGCTGCAGTGGTCCCGTCACCTCGTACTCCAACATCCTCATCGACGGCATCTTCACTGCTGTCTTTGGCATGGTCGGTGTTGACGCGCTTCTGATTATCTGCCTTGCTGTACTACTGGAGGACCGCAAGGAGCGCGAGCGCTTCCGTCACATCGATGAGAAGAGCGGATACCGCAGCCTCTAGACGACCGTAAAGCCGATCTCCCATTTTGGGATTTTGTCAACTTCTCCCGATGCAGCCAAGACGTATTTGCCTTGATCGATTTTAGATATTTCACTCTCTCACACCAGCTGACTGCTGGTTCTCTCATTTTTGTGTGGAAAGAGGAAGACGAGCTGGGGACGTGTCTCCTCGTTTCACCCTGCAATAAAGCGCATATGGCTCCTTTGTCACGGAGGCAGGTTCTCGATAAGAGGAATGGACTACACTGGGAAGGGTCCCACTTGCCTGCAACGGCCAAG